TTACCGGAGCAGATGAAAAGGCACGTAGATAGCTGTGGCTGCCAGTGTGAAGATCAAGAAACATGGGTTTTAAAGGAACAAAGTTTTTGAATCCAAGTTGCCTTTCCAGTAAACGCATTGCAGTGTCAAAATTGCCAGCTGCTGCATGTTCAGCAGCAAGAGATGATCTCTGGATCCAAATCTGGTTTACAGGCATGCCAGTAGTTGGAGCAACAAAAGCCGATGAACTAGCATTTACAGAAGCCCTTGGTGTGTCAGCTTCAGGGGGGAGCTCCAAATCTTCAAGGTCCCATCCTTCCTCTTCCTCATGTCCTTCACCCATTTCCTCATCTTCTAATCCTGCAGTGGCATCTCCATTTTGCAAGCCAGCAACGTCAACCATGTCCAGCTCCTCACCCCAATCACCATCAACAGCTTCATCCTCTTCATCCACAACTCCCCTGCCAACATTATCCAATCCACCTTCAAAAATACCTCTCATGACTCTAAGAAGAGGCCAATCACCGCCACACATAATTGGGTTAGGGGGCATTAAAAGAGTGGGCACTTTCCCCTGCGGCAAAGTTGGAACATTTTCTCCCAACTCTGCAGATAGCCTTTCAGCAACATCATGTAGGCCATGAACTGAAGCTGTGATGTAAGCAAGGGGCAAGTGGCCAACATTCTCCAAGATCTTAATACGCTCCTTGACATTACCTAGATACAGTGCATTGTGGAACTGACCCATGACATCATTCTTAACCTCAGCAATTTTCAGCATCTTGGACAGTTTTTCCATATTACCAGTAATGAGATAAAGGAAAGATAGCCTCTCAAAATTTTTAGTCTTCTGGTAGGCATACTCCACGATACCCGCATTGCCTTGGCGAAGCGCCTCCACCCCCAACCTATACCAGTAGTCTTTTTCATCAATTGCTGTAGCGGATGCAACTGCAATTTGAATATTCCCACTCTCCAGAGCCAGATTGAATCTGGTTCTTTCATCTTTCACAAAATGGAGAGCAACTTCAGGGAACCCCTTCTGTTGCAGGTAAGCAATCATTGCCTGCCCACATAGCTGTGAGTTCCTTATCATGCTCATTACATGGTCATATCTCTTCTTCAATAGGGATAGCTTGAAAATGTATTCCGTAGCATCAATAATTATGGCCCTGTTTCTCCCATCCCGATCCAAGCAAGAGATAGTATTTCCAGAAACCTTCGTAATGTAAATGGGAACATCTAGGGTTCTGATTATTCCACTGTCTCCATTAGGGAGGCAATATTTTATGTGATTTAGAGTTGTGTAAATGAAAACACCATTGTCATCCCAGCCACCACTCTTTACACGAATTGTCTCATGAAGAGTGCACTGGTGCACAAGCTTCTTGCTGGCAATGATAATGGCATGCTTGCTGAGCAAGGCAACGCTTTCCATGTCATTGGACCAAACAACATACTTGATGAAGGGGGTTTGAAGTTCACCAAGAATAATCTTCTGCTGCAGATCAAATATAACCACTTTGTCTTCAACTCTACACAGCAAATTATTTGTTCCAGCATAGAATATGGCATCAGCAGCAAAAGGAAGGGGTATCTGTTTACCAGCCTCATTTGCCATATTCTTAATCAAGACTTGGTTTTTGCTTTTGTCAAGCACAGCGAATCTATTCCGTGCAATAAACACAGCTGAACCTCCAACACCTCTCTTTGCATCTTGCAGACTATCACCCCTACTCATGCTGTCTTTGGGTATCATATACAATTCGTAAGATCCCCCATCCAAGTCTGAGGAAATAAGAACTGCATTTTCTGTAGGACTGTACGAAACAGTCCTTGGACTTTGATTTAAAGTGGTGGAACCAGGGCGTCGAATGGGAATAACTTGTGTGTCTCTTTGGGTTGAAAATTCATAGTACCGCAAAAAGCGATCTCTAGCATAGAACAGAGAATTACCACTCACTGCAAAGGCTGGTCGTTCCCTCTCTAGCTTAAATACGATCATGCCACTGTCATGACCAGCTGCCAACAGATTCATTTCAGGGTGAGATGAAAGAATCCAAAAACGGTCATGCTCTCTTCGGAAAGTTTGAATGCCGGTCCGCTTTGTTACATCCCAGACACGTATACTTTTGTCCTCTGAGTTAGATACAATTATGTCCTGTTTGGCATGAAACATGACACATGAAACATTATTCATGTGCCCTCTCAAGGTATCCACTTCCCAAGCCTTTGTATCTGAATACAAAATGAACAGATTGAATCAGTAACTCAAACCAGTCTATCTCCTACACAATCGAAATATTATTCAGAAGCACTATAATCTTCTGAGGACTAAAAAACTGTAAGTAACCAAAGCTTTGCCTCTGTATTACAAATGAACAAAATTTGAATTAATAAGGTGTCTTCCCCAAACAGAGCAAGCAAATAAACATTGACAAGGAAAGTAATTATTATGATACCATTCATCCGCCACAATTTAACTTGGCGATCATCTGCTCCTGAGACAATCAGAGGCAGGTTGGGGTGGAATGAAGCCCAATTGACACCACGATCATGCCCTTCCAAGACATACTTAACAACAGCATCAACACCGCCAAAAAGATCTGTGTTCATCTGACTTAGTCGCAGAATGTCATCTGAGGGAGATACGGTCTTCTTTTTCAGGGAACCAATATCCCAAACACGGACAGTCTGATCTAGAGAGGCAGATACAACAAGGTCCTCCTTAGGATGGAATGAGGCACACATGACATAATGATTGTGCCCTGTCAACACTGAAATACAAGTACGTGACTGCCAGTTCCATATACGAATAGTCTGGTCATCGCTGGCACTCACAATCCATGGGTACTCATGGTGAAACTGCACCGTACGGATATAATCAAGGTGCCCGAGAAGAGTAAAAAGACACCTATGCATCTTATAGTTCCAAACTTTAATCTTATAATCATCCCCTGTAAAAATGCAACACAGCTAGATTAACACATGAACTGTACAATCTACACATCAGATGAATTTCTGATAAATACACGGAGAATAATCCCTTTCTCCAGGTGTGAATAGTAAATATAAATATCTTCCATGAGATAGTAACATTGGTAAAAAAACAACGGAGAAAAGAGATTGCATATTCTTCAATTTTTGTTTCACTATTAGTCCTTTCATTAGTTCTACTTTCCAACATCATAATCTTGCACTACTAGAACTCAAAGTGACAACAAATTCTCTCTCTAAATAATAACTCCGACATCATCATTCCTGAGAAGGTATTGGTAAAAACATTTCCATCTCAAAATCAATCTTGCAATTTGATAAACCTTGGCAACTTTCGGACATATACACTGCATAATTGCCAAGTGAAATAATCATAATTCGGTACTCCATCAATTTGGACTTTACAAATCATCCACTAGTAAAGCATTCCGGACAAGCACTCCGCTAAGTTTATGTCAATTTCAATTTTCTTCATAACAAATTCAAATTACGCTTTCAATTTCGTATTCACAGTTACCTTCAACCTATATATAATCAAACCATATACAAAAACTACTAAATCTAAATGCGAAAAACAAATGCACAATCAAATCCAAAAAAAAACTAAAACAAATTATTAATAATTCAGATATGAATTTGGTACCTCCAGACACAAAGAGGGGCTGAGATTTGTGGAAGTGGACGCCGCGAACAGGCCCATCGTGCTCGTCGAATCGATCAATGAGCGTCCCCATACGGTAGTCCCATAGCTGGATCACACCACTGTGAAGACTCGCGAGGATCCACGGCCTCTTAGTGTGGAAGCTCAACCCCTTCACTCTGTTACTCTTCGTTTCAAACTTGGTCAACATCCTTCACCACCGCGATCACTGCACCCAATCGAATCGCATCAAAAAAAAAAACGAAAAGATAACTAGATTCAATTTTCCCGCAGTTTCTCGGCAACCAAACAGACCACAAATTCATCAAAACGCAAAATCTAGAGAGCAAAATTGGGAAGAGATCTGACTCGTAACCCTAATTGCAAGAGAATCGTACCTTAGATCCGATCAGTGAGTAAGGGGATCCGGATTTCTCACTAATGCATCCAAAACTTACCTCCAGAGCTCGATGTATGTTTTGTATCTATAGAGAGAGAAAGAGGAGAGAGAGAGAGAGAGATGGTGTGTTAAATTTAGATCAAGAGGACGAATTTTATTTTATTTTGATAATTCTTGTTCTGGGTGACTGTAGTCGTCAGATTGGAATTGGACGGACGTGATCGAATGGAATTGCGTCACCAGAGTGTTAGGCGAGATGGCGATGACCGTATGATCGGGATGGAAGTGATTAAGTCGAAGTGCGTCACCAGAGTGAGCAATTGACTTAGCGTTGCCAGATTGAACTTACTTTCCCAGGTTACCGGATTGAATTACAATTTCCGCAAGGTTTTTACCACGGAAAAAAACTTTAACGGAATAACTAAATTGATTTGTGCGACACAATTTTAAAAATTAGATTGACCAATTTGCTATTTTAAAGACTATTTTATTTAAAATGTCAATTTCAGAGATCAACTATGACAAAAACCTTTTCGCAAAATATACCATATTCCTTGAAAAATTTGGAAATTACAATCCAATTCTTAATTTCCAAAAAAAAAAACCTTCTGTTGGGACTTTAAACTGAAATTCAAAAAGCTAATGACTTTTCGGTAAAACAACCATGTTTATACATCCTGATGCAAATTCGAACCTTACCGATTCTCCTCCCCCTGCAACCAACTGTTAACCTACTTAATATGAGTCGTCGGAGTTGGTCTTCATGGATGTTTTTTTCATTGATGTTCGGGTTGATCAACCAACAAAACTCCTTGGTGAGATTTGTCTTCGGAGCGGGGTTTCCAAAACACTTGACGTGTGAAACGATACTATGGTAGCTGTCTAACCATTATCTCCAAGCCAATGGGTTTGCTAACACCGTTTCTCTTGTTCCCGAAGGAAACGAAGGCGATTCATCGGAACCCAGCAGAGAGGCAAAAAAACTAAATTCCAACGCCACATTTGGATACAACAACATTACTAACACTGATTCGAACAAATGTACCATAAAGAATCAAAATCATGGCAAATCGTTGAGCGTACGAAAATAACCTCTGCGTCTCAAGAGGGTAAAGAAAAGATACATCTGAATTTCGTGGTTCACAAAAAGGAAAAGTAAACAAGACGGAAACTAAGGACTACCTCGCTAGCGAGACATCATGACCTGTTCGCTTGACTGAAGGGCTTGGCTAGCAAAGGACCTTACATCAACGTCGGGATCCTCACTAAGCTCAAGCAAACAAGGACAAATAGTTTTCTCCACCACCTGTGCAAAGCGTGTTATGCATAAGTCCTTTCACTGCTTTAACTCGATTTCAGTATTGTATTTTGAAAATTATGCTCCTTTGCGTAAGGACTATCAAATGAAAAGATCTCTATTACTTACCGACTGATCAACTATCGGAATAATCGACTGCAACACCTTAGCCACATTGAACTTGATGTTTGGTACCCTACAAGAAGAAATTCTCAGCCCTACAGTGCAAACTAAATCAAACAAAAAGCATAGTTTAACTTAAAAGCTTCTAATCTATACCTGTCTTTTGATGCAGTGACTATCACCGGTACAAGCCTGGAACAAGTGAGTTCTGATCCCAAAACAGGGGCAAGTAGGGAAATGGCATGTAGAATGGTCATCCGATACAAATAGTGGGGGTTGCTTATCATTTCCAAAACCTGTCAAGAGATTTCCAATTTCAACTGTTTATGTACCATGTCAAAAGTTTTTAGAATTCGAAAGAACACTATCCAATGATCCAGTCCCTTAACAAGGCTGGGTACGATAACTATGTTTAGTAATATGTGACTATAGCTTAGACATAACCACATCTAATCTTTTCAGAAAAAGGAAAGGAAAGAAAGAAAACCTGTGGAACTATATGCTGCATTGCCCATTCGGGGCCGAATTCTTCTGCAAGGCGCTTCACATTATTAGCAGCTGCATCACGTATTGAGTAAACCTACCATCATCAGAAATATTGTCAGTAAAATGCATCTAAAACGAGGCAATACTGCATCACCGAATACTACAATTTATACATTTTGAAATCACACCACCTGTCAACCACCCAGAAAAAAGGATCCTAGGTTTTTACTTGATTAACAAGTAAACCATTATAGGCAGCAAATTCATTGTTTATGATGATGGAAAAGAAACAAAAAACCATAAACATCACTCCTTTTCTTGTTCTTTTTGCTTTTCTGAGCCAAGAGATAAACATGACATATCGAAACATCAATACTCAAACCAGAAGCCGAACTAACCTTATCATTTAACCACTGCATGCAGAGAGAGCCAAGCTTATCATCAAAAAACTCAACACCCAACTGACTTGCCAATAAAGGAATGTATTCTATTATCGCAAGCCGAACCCTCCAATGTCTATCCTCTGCAAGTTCAACAATTGCCGGCAACAAAGACTGGGACAGCATATCAATCCCAATTACCTGCATCACCAAGTAATATCAACATGACTTATTCAAATTCAATACGAAAACTTTAACTAATTTACTTAATGTTAATGAATAGGATTTCAGAATTTAAAAGCGTTTCTTGGTCTCTTAAACCGGAAAACTTCAACAAGAGTTGCTCATGCTTATACTATCACTATGTTCCTTTGCAAGTGCTAAAATTTCCTTATCAGATCATCATTACTGTCTGTAAAAGTAAAAATTTAGCACCATACTGCAAAAGCTTTTTCTGATTCACCAACATTGCTTGCACAAATCTTAGCTATATTTCACATAAAAGCAGTATGCTACTAAACAGGTCTACCTTCCTCGAGAATCCAGAACAAAATTGAATACCACATAGTCCAACCACCAGATATAAGTATGTACATTATAAAAAATCTCATGCTTAACCACCAGTTCGACACGCACAGAAAAAAGAATATGTAAACATACAGAAAGAAAAACTTGTGACAAACCTCGTTGACTTGATCAAGCTTGCTAATAATATTCAATCGCACATCAGGAAACTCGTCTTTTAGAAGAGAAAGAAAAATAGGCAGCAGCTGCTCTATAGTTGCATCCTGCAGACACCAAAGAAAGTAATAATCATATAATGAGAGGGAGAAAAATTAGCTTCAAAGTAAGAATTTGAATTAAATAACAGCCCCAAAATTTTCTTGCCTTTCCTAAAACTTGTGCCATTCCCATTATTACTGAAGCCAATGCAGAACGAACATGCTGGGAAGAATCTGTCGACAATTCCTATGGCAGGCAAACATAGTAAGTAAAAGCATAACAGTATTTAGAATTGCCTAAAAACTACAACAAACTTCTTAGGGAAAGTATAACCATAGGTTAAGTGAGATGTGCAACCTTTACGAAAGGAAGGATCTGCTGAATGGCAAGTTCTGGATTCACAATTCGGCAAAACTTAGTTACTTTTCCTGCAGCAGCTATTCGTACTTCAGCCTCATTATCCCGAAGAAGCCGAACGTATGCAGGCACCAGGTCCGACCTAATATATTACAACATCACCACACTCATCAATTAGAACCCAACTAAGTAGGTAGAGAGAGAGAGAGAGAGAGAAACAACTGATTCACAGTTACAGAATTACAATATCCTAATTCAAGTAAAACAGTATTCACGATAGGAGCCAAGCCACAAAATAAAACGACTACCTTGTAGCTTCTGGACCAACAGCTTCACAAAGCTCATATAATTGATTTGCAACCATGTATCACGCCAAGACTTATCCTGGTCACAAGAACAAGAATGACGAGAAATAATCAACCATTGCAATTCATGTAATTCAGAAGGTTGAGTTGCATTTTAGAAAACACAAAGCAACATGATAAACATAAATAAAGAATAACGATTTCTCATTACAGCATGCAATTTTAACACTCAAAATATGATATACCTGTGAAAAGTTAACAATGACAGGAAGAATATGGGCCACACAATCTTGAGGCTCCAACAACTTCCCAAGAGCTGCAAAACCCTCCACGGCCAATAACCGAACAGAATCCTGATCTGAAAACAAGATTCATCAGGGGCAAGTTCATACTTAATACCAATGCTAAGATTAATAGTCTTTAATCATAAGATAATACTACAGTGGATGATAATAAAATATTATACGAGTGACAAGAGACACACCATCCTGCGTCAAATCCTCAAATATAGACATTATGTCAGCCTTGAGGTGCACAGCTTCTACAGTCCCCAGCAAATTTTCCCAGGTTACTTGCAGCAGATCTCCTAACCATGGGCATGTCATCTTGGCACAGTTGACTGTATGTCGTTCGTAGTTCAGTTTTTAAAGTTTCTGGTGCACTAGTATAAGCAATATGAAACAAACCACAGGATGAAACTCGGGCTGTAAACCACTCGCCAGCAGCTAGTCTCTGTATTTAAAATGATATATGAAGAAAAGGAACAGTCATTCCAATGCACCAAGGTATAGAGCATTCTCATAGGGATAACATGAACAAAATATAAGTTCTAGTGGTTTTTGTGAATAATTATTTATTATGAACTGGGAAGAAAAGAAAAGAAATAACGGAACTTTAACCTACTACCATGGCATTATATATACCCTCCACAAACCAATACATGGGAAATCCAGATCGAACCACAAGATACTGTGTCCAGAATGAAAGCTTAATGAGAAGGCAAAAAACTACAAATAAATAATGGAAGAGGATCAGATCATCTGACCTTAACCAAAGGAATGAAGTATTCAACCAAGTCCTTTTCTCTCATCTGCCCCCCAATTTTACACAACGAATCCACCGCCTTATCCCTCACACATGTTTCCTCAACAGTGCAGAGTGTTTCCAAAGGCGGAAGCAGAATGTTGGCATGCTCCACACCACCTACATAGGGGATGAACACCCCCAACTCTTCCGCCATTGCCAGAAGCACTTCATCATCATCATCGTTGTTCTCACTGAGGAAAGGAATCAGTTCCTTCCTGGTCCTCTCTTCTCCCAGCGCACGGGCAATCGTGGAAAGCCTCCGGATTGAGTTCAACCGGAGCTGAATGTCTTCATTCTTAAGCTCGTCAATTAAAACCGCAATCGGGTATAAACGTTCATCAACCATAGCCATATTTTTCCACAAATTATGCCACTAACTGAATTCAAAACACAAATTCCCAAAAAGCTTCAGAAAAACCCACTTCTGTATCAAACACACATACATGTATATAACAATTTTTCGATTGTTTTCGACTTTTCACCCAACTTTTAATCCCTAATCGGTACAAATTCCGTAACTTTACTTCAATTAAAATCAATGGACCGTAAATTCAATTAAGCGATGCTTAGCCAAAAATAGAAACAAATTCCAATCGATTTCCAACCAGATCCATAGAAATAGTTCGTAATTAGAAGAATTTAATTACTTTTAAGAGTAAAAAAATCAAATGATATCGGAAAGGAAAAATCGATGCGTGAAATTAATCAAAGAAAAAAAATAATCAATCAAGTACACGAAAATATACAGCGCAAACAGAACACCAAGAGGGGAGAGAGAGAGAGAGAGAGAGAGAGAGAGAGAGAGAGAGAGAGAAGGTTACCTGAGGGCTTTGTTTGCAGAGCTTCGATCTAGAAGGAGACAGTGGTGGAAATGGGACAGATCTTTTGGGTTGAGAAACCAGAAGGAGAGAGAAAGCGAGGAGAGAGAGAGATACGATTAGTTTTTTAATTATCCGTCAAAATCGGGGATTTTTCTTCTTCTTCTTTTTTTTTTTTGGACCAAACATCGTACAGTCGGATCCTGCCCGACCGGAGTGGATTCACATATTTTCTTTCAGTCCGGTTCGATTGGTTCTATTTGGTTTAGGCCTTGAACGTATGAAGCTCAAGCTTAAAACTTTTTCTTCGTCCGAATCACCACTCAATACTATGGTCCAGTTCAAATATCCATCCTATAACAACCGTTTTTTTTTTATATGACACCGTCTACTTACTAGAAACGAGAGAAGTCATGAGTCGCCTTAGCTATATATCAAGAAGAGAATATTGAAATAACTTCAGCAATACACACATATATATATATATATATAATCGTTCACGATACAGGGTCGTTACAGGGCCTAATAAAAAGTTTGAAACTCCGAATTATCTTAATCTTACAATTTGGTGGAGCAAAAACCAAAACTACCAACATCAATATGCAGTGTTGGTCGGAAAACAACAATTTCATATCCATTGTCATCATCCCCTAATGCTCTGAGTAATCTTAACGTTACCTGCAGATTATCCGTCCCCTACCCGCGGAGGTATTCACCATCTCCGCGTTTATATGCTTATTTTGTCAACCAAATAGAGAAAACTTTACCTGCCATCGTTAAATAAGAAAGCCGACAGCTCTTGTGAGTGATGACAGCAGCAGAAGAAATCAGTGCCGTTGTATTGTAGAACTGAACTAGCAGCAGGATCTCGATAAAGTGGAATGGTATTGCCGTATGCTGATTTCAGGATTTCAGACGATTGAACAATCTGGTCCAAAACCTTCCGCGAGGTGGCTGTAATACTTCTGGTGGTTCGATAGATTCCTTGAAATGTGCTTTCTCACTTAATTCTTGAAACGCGTCAACAAGATTTTGAAGCCTTGCAACAAACTCTATCAACAGGGATGTAAATGTGGCTAACGACAATTGACTAGCATTTTCATAGGTGTTGGATTCCTCCGCTGCTGGCGGTTCATCACCCTTGAATTTAAGTCCTGCAGGCCATGAAATCTGTTTCATGAACATGCTTCCTGAGGAAACACCTGCAGGCAAATTCGAGTGGTTGACATCAGTTGTTACTGAGCCCGTGCCATTTGACTTCGGGGGCATCTGGCTATCCCAACTTTGTGGCACAGGAAAAGATCTGAGATCAAGTACAGCTTCACTAAGGGACTTGTATTCCCGGAAATAATTTTCGTCATCATCCGCATTCAACAAGTCTTGAGGTTCTCCCAGCTCCTTTGGCCGGCTTCCAATCTCCCAGCTTTCTGAATTAACAAGCAGGTATGACTTCTGGTCAACTTTCTTTTGTAAGTCTTCTGCAGCCTCATGCACTTCATTGAGTATATCTATGGGACCTATTTTCTCCATCGTTTTCAGTTTGTTTCCAAGTTCACGTAACACTTTAGCGCCTTCGCATCCCACCCTTTGAAGCTCCCTACGAAATACTTCTCTTCGCTCAGCAGGAGCCTACATACACAAATATTGGATGTTCAGTAAACAGACACTATAACATTTCAAATTAAGAAAACAGAAATAGAAACAGATAATTCAGGAAAAAACTATAAATCATGAAGAAGTTATAGGTGCATGAGCATAAAACAAGATACAACACAAATACAGTATTATTACCCCACTCAAATAGATCATTCGACGGGACTTCTTCAATACCAAAACACCAGAGATGTTTTGGCAGGAAAAACCTTCCCATGCATGATAATGAACATGCCATGGATACCATGACTACCAGTACTGAATGAGCTTCCTCGTGATTCACGAGTATGAGGGAAAACTAAATTATGGTAATCTACGCGCAATTCATATTAAGGAGCAAAGGTAATCAAGAGGATAATATTTACGCAACAAACAAATCTATGAACACCAGCAGATGTGGGAAAGAAATTACATGCTCTCAAACAAACATAATTAACGATAAATTAGAAGGATCTGCCTTTCGAATGAGTAAATTGTCATGCTACATCAAAGCATCTTTAGAAGCACAGATAAATGAAGAAAACAATACTACATCTTTGTTATTAATAGCCTCGCAATGTAGTTGGATATAGTTAGTACCTGTATTTCAGAAAGTATACATCCATGCAATGCCATGACCATAAAAGCACAATGCCTCAGTGCACCACCCACTTTTACATAGTTCTTCCATGGATATCTAAGCATTCTGTATCGACCATGCGGTGGCTCCCAGATAGCGAATCCCATCTTCAAACAAAAAAATCGAGTTTAAAACAAAAATAAAACCAGAAAATCTGCTAATGCCGTGAAGTCCTAATCACCATCATATTGCAATGAAAAATACCAGAGCGTCCTCTTGGCTTGTAGATTCCACAGCAGATCTGTAGCCACTATAGAGTGGATCATCAGAAGCTTGATATGTAAGAATCTTGGAAGGGACCCTCTCATATTCAACGCAATTAAGGTAATTGTTAACCACACCTAAAAATGATGGTCAACAAACGAAATTGGTAATGACAAAACTGGGTTTGGAGTAACAGAAAAAAGTGTACAATGTCAAACAAATTCAATGTCAATAGTAAACGAACCTTCCAATGATTTTGCAACACCCAGGAAATTTTTTACCACCAAGTTGTGCAGATCCTCACCAGCCCAGATGGGGAAAATGCATATATTTACTCCCAAACCAACACCAGCACCCAGTGCAATAAGCAAGAATCGAGATACAGCCGTATGAAGAAATTCCCTTGTCCGATACCCAGACACCATGATGAAACAAAATGTCAACAAGAACACCCGAAACCCATATTCATAAGGCTTCATTGTCGGGTATAGCTTCGCGTAAGTTGCAAGAAATCCTAGCAACCACATAACATGTCAAGAAAATGAAAATCAAATAAAAAGAAACCAACCAGCAAGTCTAGCATATAGTTGAACTTTTCAATGACATTACTAAAAACAAACAATAAATACACCGGTTCCAAATCCAGACCTACGATAAAGATGCTAGCGAAAATAACAGCTTCTTCCCACTCTCCAGCCAGCCCACATAAGTTTGCCACAGCCAAAGCCAGGCCTCCAGCCGATAACGTCCCCAACCCGCGGTTAAATCCTTTGCTCAGAGTCGCTCCTGCTCAAGAACACGTATTGCATTGTAAAAGAAATGCACTTCGAATTCTAGCCAAGAACAAATTCGAGTCAAAGGTCCAACACTACCAAAAAGAATTGACCTTTCAAACTATCATTACCAATTTTCAACTTTCGTGACCAAAAACTATAGCTTCACTTCATTATTATAATCATGAGCTCCATGCTTTTTCCAGTTCCCTTCATTTACATTCCACTTTATTAAATTCAGCACATTAAAGTTCGTTTCTTTCCACATTAAATAAACAAGTTTACAAACAAAGAACTCGAATTCTGCAAAAAAAATCAAAAGTAATATCCAATAAAAACAGAGATACCCAAAAGGAATAGCTCAAGGAAGTTGAGGTCGCACCATAAAACCAAGTGATAAAGCGAGGCTAGCCTAATTTCTTATAAACACATACAAGGTCCCGCCTATCTCCGATGTGGGATTCATACTCACAGCACACACGTGCAATCAAATTTGACGAAGACCCAGAAGACAAAATTGCTAAATAAACGCGAAAACGAAGAGAATGGATCCAAATAAAGACAGCAATTTACCTATGCTGAACTCGAACACCACCACAACGGTAAGAATTGCCCAGACGGAGTAGCGGCTGAGCTGCTTGAACGGCTCTTTGAGGAAGATGAGCAGCGAGACGATCATCAGCGCCAGACCCATCTTCCCCGCGAAGACGATCTTTCTCGGATCGGATTGACCCATCTGAACCGCCCGGCTCGAGACATGTTGCACGGTTCGGCACCAGCCGACGATTCGGTCGGAGACTGATCGGAAAGTGCAGCAGCGGGCAGACCCCGACGGCTCTTGCTCCTCGATGTGGACGAAACCGAGCTCGGAGTAGCCCTTCTGGACGGAGAGCAAGCGCTCTCTCTTCTCCTGGAAATTGTACTTGAAGGAACCCAATTTGGCTGCCATTTTTGTAGGGAGAGGGAAAGTGGAAAGCAGAGGGAATGGAAAGTACGAGCTCGCGTTTGTTGAACTCGGAGATCCGGATACGATTTTTATCGTTGGAACACGTTTCGTAATAACGTCGTAGTTCCTCGAACAGCAAAGAATTATTGCAGCAAAATGTATGGAGGAAATAATAATATTTGTTGTGGCCTATTTTTTTATAGAAAGAATCGTAAAATTTTAGGGATGTTGACTTTTATTTGTGTGTCTTTATTTATAATAAATTATGAGGATAGATAAATTTGTTATTCAAGTAATACAAATCTTAATACGACATAATCACTAGCCTAAATAGTAAACCAAATCAAATTCAGACAATCGCACTTGTATTAGAATTTAAATAATAACAGTAAGATATATTAATTTTACGTCACTCAAATTGAATATCATTACTTGTGAAATAGAATGAGAAAGTTAAATTTGAACAATCTGTTAAGTTGAATTTCATTTAATTCACACCTCAAAACTCAAAATCACCAAATTAAACTTATCAAGTAAAATATTCAAATTTGCCATGAAAATTCTCTAAACAACGAAGCCAAACAAATCGTTATAAACCCTATGAGAGTTTTTGGGGTTCAAAGTTCAAACACACTTCCCTAATAAAAAAGGTTAACTTTGCCTAGGCCTTTTCACGAGTTTATCACGTGACAAAAACTTTAACTTAATTTGGTTAATTTAACAGATTATTCTTCATTGAAATCTTAAACAAATTGCAAGATTTCAAGCACTAAGCAAGTAAACTATCTTTTTTGCTAAACCCACAACGCATTCCCTTGAAAAAAAGCCCACTTACATTAAAAGCTATATGAATCCTTAAGTCGAAGATTAAATGAAATCACATGGATAATAAGTGTACTTTGGCCTAAAAGAAAAGTACTCAGTCTCTCAATACAAATAATATCATATGCACTTAACTTGAAGTGAAAGTAATGAACACCAAACTTGAACATCCTCTCTAACCTCAAATTAAAATACACAGAAACATAAAGTAATACAAGTTATCCTGCTCACTCCAACTCCGTAAAGAAAGATGATTCCAACAGTTTTTTTTTTTTTTTAAGTAAATCGATATTTTTACATTAAGAGAAGAGGGAGTTCGGCTAATCCACATAATTGAATCCGTCATCCACGAGATTCGAACCTAAAAACTCCCACTCCCAATGAAGATGAATACCACCAGACGGTAGTACTGAGTGGCCTTACAACAGTTTTAATTACAAATTAATCAGGAGAGTCGAGATTAATGATGTGATTCTATACAAAAAGTTTCAACTTGGTTAGGGTATGATATGACATTATCCCAAGGCCTGATCAAAGGCGTATGCGGCGCCTGATCTTGAAGGTTTTCTTGATCGTTGGTGGCGGTGTTACTGTTGTCCATAAGCTCTTGTATTTCTAGTATCTCAACCCTGCGATTCGTCTTCTTCCTTATCTTGATCGCCACGTCCTGTGGGATAAATCTGCCGCACACACTCACCCTGCACTCCTTCTTCTCTATCAAATGAGTCTCCAACTCTGCGCAACAAAAACAGTTCTTTTAAAGGATAATAATGGATTAAGGGAGTCGAGTTACACATAAGAGACTTGATAATTGGTCTACTATATATAGTAGTCATATTCTCTAAACCCGCACAAAACAGTCAGAAACAACCAAGACATCAACAATCAAATTATACATATTTGTGTACGAGTGTGATGAATTTTGGAGTATATTTTTTTTTTCTTCAATTGATATTATAACTTAATTAACTCTAGCCAACTTTGCTAAGCCAAGTTTAGAGATTACAGAAAATAAGTGTTCTCACCTCGCATATCAAGAATTGCTCTCCTTACTTTTCTGTAACAACCATTGCAGTCCATATGGATTCGCATCAGCATGTAGCAGAACTAAACATGCATGGTCAACATAAGATCACACAGATGGTAACTAAGTTTAGATACTAATAAAGTTCTGACCCCAAAAGAAATATCAATTGAAGCGTACCTTGTCTGTCATTAAATCGTAATGAGAGAGAGAGATGTGTACTGTTACTGCTGAATCCAAAACTGTCGAATGGACGAAGAAAAATGATGATATTATAAGGCAATGATGCAATGTGATAATATAGAAAACGAAAAAGGATCAATCATCAATGGAAGTACGTATTATGAGCTGGTTATATTGATTCTGTTGATTCATTAATTCATGACTGTTCATCTTGGAATCCGATTCTTCCCACGCAAAGATATTTATATGCGCGTATGTGTGTGTATATATATAGGCTGGCAATGTGGTTAGATTTTTTCATTATATTCTTGACTTCCTTGCGTTGTTTTTGTACTTCTCACATGCACTAAGCTTAAGCATAATTACTTTCTTGCTTTTAGAGCCGCAAATAATTATATATGCCATTAGAAAAGCATCACCTTTCTTTTTTGAGTAGATCGACATTTTTACATTAGAGAGATGAAGAGTTCGGCTAAATCACACAATAGCAACCTAATTTGGTATCGAATTCGTGAATCGAACCTAAGACGTCTCACTTCCAAGTAAAGAGGAATATCACCGGACCATAGTACTAAGTGGCAAAATCTTTACCTTTCTGAATCCACCTTTTTAACAAATGCATGGTAAATGCTTTAATCCAGGTGAAAATATGGAAAGGTAAGTTGACTCTAATTAAAGACTTCTTTTTGCGATTTGCAAATTCTCTCTTTACCATTTTCTTGCCTTTGGAACTAAGGAAAGGCCAATGTAAGAAATGGCTGTATAGGCTTGTTTTTCAACGTAATCATAATGATGCTTTTGAGTTGATAACTAATTGTGTTAAAAATTTCAAGGCTGCTTGTAGGGAACAAATCAAAGAATTAGTAGTTTTGTTTCCACCGAAAATGGAAATGGCCAAGGTTTATTATGAACTCATAATTATAATCTAAAGATCGAGTCGGTTTCATGATTATAAGTTCATATCGTATCAAATTAGACTCAAAATATATATACACATTCTAATTATGAGCAACTGTATTGGAGCCTATTTTAATAGGTACCATACTGTTAAAATATGGAACGGCTAGGGTTTGTAGAATGCTAGGGCTGTGTTGTTGATCTTGGAGAATCCCGAATATTTTCTTATTCATATAATCTGTACAGATATACAAGATTTATACAAAGCAAAATCATCTATTCTAGGAAGTCAACTCTAAGAGATCAATACATGATTTACATCCCTACAATCAAGGAACTAAATATCCTGAATGATATTGCCATCTAATACTCCCCCTCAAGGTGGAGTGTGAATGTCAAGAACACCCATCTTGCCAAGAAGAGATTGAAACGCAGCTTGCCCTAATGGTTTGGTGAAAATGTCGGCTAGTTGCTGTCCAGTAGGGATGTAGGCAGTCGTAATAATCCCAGATTGAATCCATTCACGAACAACGTGACAATCGATTTCTATATGCTTGGTACGCTCATGAAAAACCAGGTTAGCTGCTATATGGAAGGCAGCTTGGTTATCACAGTATAATTTGGCCGGTCCATGGTGATCAACACGTAAGTCAGCTAACAAAACCTTCATCCATGTAAGTTCACATGTGGCTGAGGCCATGGCCCGATACTCGACTTCGACCGAGGATCTTGAGACAGTAGACTGTTTCTTGGTCTTCCACGACACTAGTGCACCTCCAAGGAATATGCAATAACCCGTAACGGATCTTCGTGTGATTGGACATCGAGCCCAACTAGCGTCACAATAACCCCTCAATATTAAATTTCCCTTGGAGGGAAAAAGGAGACCTTGTCCAGGCGCCTCCTTCAAATAACGAAGAAGACGGTGAACCGCGTCGAGATGAGGCTTTCTCGGTTGTTGCATAAACTGACTGAGGATATGAACTGAATATGGAATCTTTGCTCTAGTGATTGTGAGATAAATGAGTTTCCCAACAAGTCTTCTATACTGCGAAGCATTGCGGATAAGATGTCCTTCCGTTGGGGATAGTTTCAAGTGTTCTTCCATGGGAAATTTTGCAGGTTTTGCACCCAGTAAGCCAGCCTCATCAAGTATGTCAAGTGTGTATTTTCGTTGGGAGATTGAAATCCCTTGAGAGGACCGAGCTACCTCCACGCCAAGGAAATATTTTAAGTGTCCAAGGTCCTTGATTCGAAAATGGGTGTGAAGGAAATGCTTAAGATCGTGGATGGCCACCTCATCGTTACTTGTGATGATCATGTCATCAACATAAATGAGTACAACAGTAAATGAGTGTCCACGCACCTTAGTAAATAGAGAGTAATCCGCCTTGGACAGTTGGTAACCGGCTTGGTGGATGGCTGTGGAAAATTTGTGGAACCAGGTGTGTGAAGCTTGCTTGAGTCCGTATAGGGATTTATTGAGTCGACAAACATTGTTCTCCCCCTGTCGACAAAGACCAGGAGGTAGGTGCATATAGATTTCTTCACATAGGTCACCATGAAGAAAGGCATTTTGGACGTCCAGTTGATGAACGCACCAATTGCGTACGGAGGCAACGGCGAGGAAGCAGCGCACTGTGATTAATTTGGCAAAGGGAGCGAAGGTTTCTTTGTAATCGATACCTTCTCGTTGTGTAAAACCTTTGGCAACAAGCCTAGCTTTGTAGCGCTCAATAGTACCATCAGAGTGGTACTTGATCTTGTAGACCCATTTGCAACCGATGGCGCGATGACCAGGAGGAAGGCGAGTGAGGGTCCATGTGTTTTGTTGATCAAGAGCAAGAAGTTCAGCGTCCATTGCAGCCCTTCAGTGAGGATCACTATGAGCCTGCTCAAAGGATGTGGGCTCGACTGTAGTGGTAATAGCACAAGCAAAGGAGCGATGCGAAGGAGAGAGGTGAGCATAAGAAACATAGTGAGATAAAGGATAGCGAGTACCTGACATGGAGGAGGACGAGGCGCTGGGGTGTTGGACATGATATAAATGGTACCCTTGAAGCCTTACGGAAGGCTTGGAGACGCGTCCAGAATGGCAAGGGGCAGGTGGCGGAGGAGTTGTGAGTGTGTCGGTTGGAGGTGTGTCGGTGGGAGGTGTTGGAGGTGTGTCGGTGGGTGTGGCGGTGGGGTGAGAGGTATCTGTGGAGAGGGGCATGGGTGTGGGTGATGTATGGGATAAAGGGACAGATGGTTGGGTTGGGGAAGGAGGTGTATGGGTGTCTTGAGTAAAAGAGGTGTCAGGTTGGTGTGGTAGAGGTAAGACTAAGGTATCCGGTTGATGATCAGGTTGGTGAGTAATATAGGGAAAGATGGTTTCATGGAAAACAACATCACGGGAGGTAGTGAATTTATGAGTGGTGAAATCATAAACACGGTAACCTTTTTGGCCTAAAGGATAACCAACAAAGATGCATCGCTTGGCACATTGATCAAATTTGTGAGTGGGGTGGAGATTTGTGGCATAACATAAACAACCAAAGACTCGTAGGTGGGAAAAATCTGGAAGATGGTGATGTAAAAGTTCATATGGTGTTTTGTGAGAGATGAGTGGTGTGGGTAAACGGTTAATTAAGTAACAGGCAGTTTGTATGCTTTCCCCCCAAAAAATCAATGGCAAATTTGCTTGGAAGCGGAGTGCTCGACCGACATTCAAGAGATGACGGTGTTTCCGCTCAACAATCCCATTTTGTTGGGGTGTTGACGGACAAGAAGACTGAAAAATAATGCCTTTGCTAGAAAGAAAAGAACGCAATGAAGTGAATTCACCTCCATTGTCAGCCCGTATCGTTTTGATCATAGAATTAAATTGTGTGTGCACCCAAGCAATGAACGAACGTAACAACCCTTGTGTCTCAGATTTAAAACGCATAACATGGATCCAAGTGTAACGAGAATAATCATCAACAATGGTTAAAAAATAGCGAGCCCCCGAATGGGAATTGACTCGATGAGGTCCCTAAATGTCACAATGTATCAAATCAAAAGGTGCGGTAGAAGAAATAAAACTTGACGGAAAAGATAAACGGGTTTGTTTTGCAAGGGGACAAACATCACATGAATGACTAGAATCAACCATGATCGTAGGAACTTGCTTGTTCAAAACTTGAAGAGGACCGATGGAGGGATGACCTAACCGTTGGTGCCAAAGGTTGGAATGACGACTAACATTGTGGATGAGGCCAGGGTTTTGCTTTGGCGCCAAGTAATAGAGTCCATTATATCGCTTGCCCAGGCCAATCGTCCTCCTCGTATCCATGTCCTGTATCACACAAAAAATCTGGAAAGAAAATCACTATGCATCTGAGTGCCTCAGTAAGCTTGCTAACAGATAATAAATAAACCCGAAAATTGGGTACATGTAGCACATCATCAAGTTTAATATGAGGGTTAACTCGTATGGAACCAATGGATTCAATGGTCGCTTGTCCTCCATTGGGCATCTGAACGGACTCGAACATGGACAAGGATTTCTTGTCGAGCAAGTGTGATGAGGGGGATATGTGATCCGTGGCCCCACTATCGATAATCTAATATAATGTTTTCTGTGAAGAAAATGCTGACATATTTGAGGAGGGTGTGATTATACCTGTAGCATTTGCATAGTGTTGTGTATTACCATCGAGATTGGTCTTCTTAAGCATCGCCATTATTTGATTGTACTCCTCTGTGGTAAATTTTGGACCATCACTAGTGGTTGCCTTGTGTCGTGGTTCAGCACATTTGATGGCTTCGGCTTCCCCCTTAACTTGGTTGGCAGCAGGCTTTCTCTTGTTGGGAGGTTTCACGGATTTCCCATGGTATTTGTGGCCAGGTGGAAAACCATTCAAGTAAAAACACTTGTCCACAGTGTGATATTTCTGATCACCATACGTACACTGAAAGGGTGTGTTTCCTTTGGATGTCTAAAAAGCTTGCACCGCAGGTTCCCTGTTATTGGTTACGTGCATGGCATGTAGATTAACATTATTACGATTGAGAGATACCTCCACTTGTTTCTCTTGTTGAAGAACGAGAGAGTATGTCTTTCGAGTGTCGGGAAGTGGCTGCATCAATAGTATTTGTCCACGTACTGCGGCATAGGACTCATTAATCCCATGAGGAACTGCATCACTCTTTCTTTCTCGTCTCGGTCGTTGACCGTCTTCAATCATCCACAGGTGCAGGTCGGGGGTTCATGATAGGACGACAATTCATCACATAGTGCCTTCCACTTGGTATAGTAGGCCGAGATAGATTGTTGTTCTTGCCTGTGTTCAACAATGTCTCGTTTAATCTGATAGATGCGTGTATCGTTTCCTTGTGAGAATCGGTCTCGCAAGTCCGCCCATACATCTGCTGCTGAGGTGTAATACGAAACGCTACTCGCGATATCGTCGTGTACAGAGTTTAAGATCCAAGCAAGGACCATGTCATTGCATCTTTGCCATGATGCAAACTGTTTATCAGTTTCTGGTGGTGGATCGATGGTGCCATCAACCAATCCAAGTTTGTTCTTCGCGCTCAAGCTGATTCGCATTGCACGACTCCAGGTGTTGTAGTTGTCTCCTTGAAGTGTTTTGGAAACTAAGATGTTCCCAGGTTGATCAGAGGGGTGTAAAGAAAAGAGGTTTGAGATATCAATGGACATCTCTGTTGGTTTTTGGTTTGCTGTCAGTTCTCCCATGGTGTTTAGTTGATGTTGCGGAAGCGGCTGGGTATTCAGAGTCACCAGAAACGGCGCTCTGATACCTTAAAATATGGAACGGCTAGGGTTTGTAGAATGCTAGGGCTGTGTTGTTGATCTTGGAGAATCCCGAATATTTTCTTATTCATATAATCTGTACAGATATACAAGATTTATACAAAGCAAAATCATCTATTCTAGGAAGTCAACTCTAAGAGATCAATACATGATTTACATCCCTACAATCAAGGAACTAAATATCCTGAATGATATTGCCATCTAATACATACCATGTTTACATATGAATCCTAAGCTGTTACATACCATTTAGGATTAAGAAAACATGTAACCGTACCTTCGTTTTACATACGCATCTTGTTATTTAGGATAGTCTACTAGGATGTTATTGAGTAATGTTTGCACGATCATTTTGTACCTTCTCTTTAATAAAGGTAAGGTGCGCACCAACACATATAGGTTATATCTTTATTTGAAAGATGTTACAAATATATGGTAAGAATAACATTTCGAATATTATTACAGTAACACCACATCAGCCAACATTACAGATATGTCGAATGTACCACTCAATTAATTTCTCCACTGTGGCTGCAGGCAAGTTGTTTGTGGCGGCAGCGACAACGTTCTGCCGTTGCAAAATAGGAATTAAAGTTATGCTTACTGTTTTTTTTTAATCTATTGGGCATGTCTAGTTTTTCTAATTTGTTGTGGGCTCTTTGCTTATATGTTTATTGGGCTGGTTGACTTTACCGAAATGTAGTACTTTATATTGTTTAACGAGTGATGCACTTTCGACAATTTTTTTTTTTTTTTAAAACATCTAAAAAGTATTGGAAAAATGCAAAGGATATAATTACTTTTTCTTAATTGATCGAATTGAGTTAATTTTTCCTTTTTCCACGAAGAGGGTTTATTTTATATCATTTGGAGTGGTGAAATATTAGCTTGCAAAGACATAAACAACATTTTGAGGTCAATTTACAAAGTTTATTTGGGAGTTATAATTGGCACTTCAATAAAATGATTATGCCCTTCTCGATGCGTAATTTTTTTCTTAGGAATGTGAACTAACATTACTGAAGTGCCAAAAACAGTTTTTTTTTTTTTTTTTTTTTTGTTAATCTTTGAAGTTGAATGTACATATCAATGTTGTCCCTTGGAAAAAAAGAAGCAAGAAGTGCGTGTAGCAACTGACACTAAGACAGCAAGAAGTGCGTGCAGAGAATAGCACACACCATACATGTAGAAGAAACTCATCACATCCAAAACATGCACAATTCATCTATTTAATTTACACCTTAATTGGTAATTTTCTAACTCTTCTACATAAGAACACAATAATGGCTTCCCCTAACAGTTGTCTGCTTCAAAATCATTTCGCCATTTCCTCTCTGACCCTACTCCTCTTTCTCATTTCCCTTCCGCCATCCGTCCTCTCACAAAACCCTACCATTGCGCAATGCACCACGCAGCTTCTTCCGCTGGCCGCTTGTGCACCATTTGTGCAAGGCAGTGCCATGTCACCTGCACAGTCATGCTGTGTCAACCTCAAGCTGCTATATAGCCAGCAGCCAGAGTGCCTTTGCCTTTTGCTCAATGGCACTACTTTGAGCACCTTCCTTATTAACACGACTCGCGCTCTCCAGCTTCCCGTTGTTTGCAGCCTTCAAGTCGACATCTCTACTTGTCCAGGTAACTTCTGGTTTCGAAGAAAAATAGGGATTTGTGACGATTCTGAGTCCAAATCTGTTAGCTGTTCTTTATTTATTGTGTAATAATTTACATTAATTTATATTAATCTAATCTTTTTCGACGTTTTCGCTGCAGGGGTACCTGTGCCTCCTAGTTCACCTAGTTCTCAAGATCCCCCCCTTCGGAATAACACCAGCTCATCTGCTGCTAATTCTACAATTGCTGGTACCCAAAAATAAAAATATCCAATCGTTACACTCCCTCTAATTACATAATAATACCTCTTGAATTCTGACTTGGTATTTTTTGGGATGTCAGCCACTCCAATGCCTCAAACGGCACCAATCCCCACCACGATGGGGTTAGGGTTTGGGAGAACTACAAATGCTGGTACCAAATTGAAGATGGGAAGTTATCTTGTAGTGGCTTTCGCCGTGGCAGTTTTTCCAGTGACCGGAGTTCTATTTTAAATATGATAATATTTATACCACCAGATTAATGTTTTGATGGCTTTTTATGTTGGGGTTAGAGATTTTACTTATTATTTAGGAGAATTTATTCCGTTACGGTTTTATAGATACCATCGAACTTCTATTGATTTGAATAAAAACAGTGGTGACTGTCAAATTATATATGGCCTCTTGGCTTACTTAGGTTTATGTTTCAGTGTCATGGAACCGTTTTTCGATGGTGCAAACCAGAGACGACAGACAGGCCTACAGTGAGGAGAGGTTATGCCATGTTACCGGAAGTGTACACCCGTGTGTAATGATAGATGTAGACACACGTGTATACACCCAGTGACATGCACAAGTTTTCTCTACTTCAAACAGATAAATCCACAAAAAAGGCTATATTTGACAATTTGCTAAACATCGTACAGGATAGTAAAATGAAATTCGGAAAAAAGACGTTTGGACATGGAAAGTCACCCTACAAACAGAGATATTTACCTATGACAGAATGTTTGTTTTCCTAGGATTGTATCATGACATCATGTATTCAGATGCTTCAGATGTACGTAAGGTCATTTTATTAAGAAACTATTCCAAACTAGGAGCCACTTCAGTCGGGTTGGATTCGAAGACGTCCGGGTTGGATGCCTCCGGTTCTTCCAAAAACTCCCGAGACTGAAACGAATCTTTGTAGACTGGAGTCTCCTTGAAATCAGTTGCTCCTTCATTGTAAGAAGTAGCAGCAACTAAGCAAGCAATAAGCTGGGAAATACAAAACAAACAAACGGGGGGTCAAACATTAGCCTTCAATTTGTAAATAACGCAAGTGCGAGAGAAATTTACATAAAAATGGAATGTCACAATTACGGTATTTCAATTTATCATGTATTGCTGTGTATTTTAACTTATCCGCATGACGGTGTATTGACTTAGAATACCATTATTTGTATGCAAGGGGATGCGGGGTATGTAGTATTAGTTGAATATTAGAGTGCGCAACGAACGAGATTACAAAATAATTGGAATATTATTAAACTAACGATAATACCGAAACGGCTACAAAACCCTAAGAGGCTACATTGTGACTAACTTATTCTAAACTGAATAACAAGCATGCTATTTATAATAAACTAACCCTAACCAAAAAGGTAAGAAACCGAAACCCTAATGTTAACGGGCTAAGCCCAGAAAACCAAATATTCAAATAAACTAAAATCCTAATATTTTCCAACACCCCGTCAAACTCATGGCGGTATACGACATGGGTTTGCAAACAAGCAGATGCAGACTGGCTCCGTTAGGCGGACTGGCAGGCATGCAAACTTGACTTGACTTGACTTGACTAGCAAACTGGCAAATTGATTCTTGATTCTTGATTCTTGACTTGATTCTTGATTCTGACTGGCAAACTAGTTTTGGTTCAAATTGGCTAGTGTTAAGAGTATGGAAAGAACCTGTCTATAAACGGACAAGATTTTCATATCTCAATTCTAGCAACGAACAAACAAACACAAATCCTATCATTCGAGTGGTCACAATTCAACACTTGAGTGACGGTCACAAAACAATTCCAAAGAGTATGCGGGCCTAAAACAAACGTAAACCATATGTTTTTTCTTTTGCCCGTGCGGGGGCCTCAAAAACTCCAAACAATTTTTTCTTTTTCCTTCTTTTTTCTCTCTTGTTCTGTTTTTTTTTTTTTTTTTCTCTTTTCATTTTGTTTCGAGACTGGCGGATACAAATGCCCAGATTGTAGCTGGATCTAGTACAAGTTCATGGGATTTGGGCTTGCGAAGATGGTACAACAAGGGTGCAGCTTCGGTGGTTTTGACAGCTGACAACAGGGAAATCATGGATGCAGAGCAACATTGGCAGGTCAGGTACTGGTGCGGGTCGAGTGAGGGTTGATTAAGCGGCATGGTAGTGATGCGGAGATGCGAGTTGTTGCAACAACGAAGGATCATGCAGGTGACGGTGGGTGCGGCAAGCAAGTTGTAACATCCCACATCGCCCAAGGGAGTGATCCTTAAATGTATATTCTCATCCCTACCTAGCACGAGGCTTTTTGGGAGCTCACTGGCTTCGGGTTCCGTAGGAACTCCGAAGTTAAGCGAGAATGAGGCCAGAGCACTCCCAGGATGGGTAACCCACTGGGAAGTTGCTCGTGAGTTCCCAAAAACAAAACCGTGAGGGAATGGTAAGCCCAAAACGGACAATATCGTGCTACGGTGGTGGAGCAGGCCCGGGAAGTGATCCGCCCCGGGCCGGGATGTGACAAAGTGGTGCAACGATGGCCTATTGCGGAATGGTTCACATACGGACGACGGGGGTAGACCTACGAAGGCTGGTGGTTGGTGTTTCGGGTATGCAGGAATCTGGGGTGGTGCGACTTCCGAGCAAACATGTTCAATTTTTTTCTTTTCAAAACTAACACTGAAAACTAATATCAAACAAACAACATGGATACCTATTAAGAACAGATTAAATCCCGAAAGATTAAACCTGCTCTGATACCAAGTTGAATATCAGAGTGCGCAACGAACGAGATTACAAAATAATGGGAATATTATTAAACTAACGAGAATACCGAAACGGCTACAAAACCCTAAGAGGCTACATTGTGACTAACTTATTCTAAACTGAATAACAAGCATGATATTTATAATAAACTAACCCTAACAAAAAATGGTAAGAAACCGAAACTCTAATGTTAACGGGCTAAGCCCAGAAAGCCAAATATTCAAATAAACTAAAATCCTAATCTTTTCCAACAGTATTCACTTATGAGCTAGACTTCCCTATACTTGTTCCTAAAAATTGACTAAACAGTTTTGGTAACCGTTATGATCTTCAAACTTGAACCGTCCATTTGGTCGGTATATATGAACCGTTAAACGATTTTCAATCTAAATGTGTTTTTTCAATTGTGATTTAGTAAATGACAGGTTACAGTTGTGATATCAGTAAAGTGTTGTAAACACAACTTGGATGGACAACAAAGTACACTTTGAAATGCACTTAACTATTTGTTTTTTATTTTTATTTAAGAATCATTCTAGCAAAAGAATTAATCAAATTGGTAATCATTTAGTTGATTCATAATTATTCATCATTAAAATCTGAATTATTACTAAAACCGTCGATAATTTGTTCGATACATATGAATTACTGAACATAAACACCCAACATAAATTAGGGATCAAAATTGATGAACGAATTAACAAGGAGCAGTGAACATACCGCAAAGCCAATACCAAAAGCCCACAAGTACTCCACAAAGAATCCAAGCCAATCCCATTTTTCACCTTCCCAGAAGCAAGGCTCATCCCCCGGAAGCTTAGGCAAGAAATACCGATCATCAACGTTTCCCACAACCCCACCACCTACGTTTTCAATCTCAGCCGTCCGTTGCGACCCCATCATGTCTTGTTCTTGGTCTCTTGTAGTTGAGGTGCTTTTCCTGTTCCTGCCGTCGGTCCTCCCAGTTCTGGACGCGAACCTCTTGGCTGACACCACGTAGAGGGCTCTTCTGGAGGAGGGAGGGAAGAGGAGGTGGCGTTGTGAGGAGAGGTTGGTGTAGGGGTACTGTCTGCTGGTGGTGGAGCTGCTGTAGAGGACTCTTGCTCCGCCAGTGGAACTTCCACTGTTGGCTATGGTAAGAGCCATGAGGGGAGGAGAGTGAGAGTCTCTTTGTTCGTAGCAGCACAAAGCTAAATGAGCAAGGTGGAAATATCTCTTCAGTATGTGTGGATGGGATAATGAGAGTGGGGGAGATGATAATGGAAGTTTTTCCATAAACTTGACCCGAATTGTTTCCATATTGGACCATCGGGTCCATCCATCGTTGGTACAGTTAATAAACTATTTATATCTTATGAGCCTAGCAGTAAAGTGGTGTTGTTTCTTTTCTCATATTTTTTTATTCAAATATATTTTACATTAGGATGTCGTAGATAATATAAGGATATTTTATATTAAAGCGTAGGAGATTTGGTTTAAGTCGCTTAATAATTCACTTACAAGTGAAAAGAAAATTCATTAGACTGTAATGTTAGTGTCAGTCAATTTTCTAGCTCTTATTTATGATAAAGAAAAATAAGTATTTCTAGTTATCCAAAATGGTGAAGGTTGAAATGTTTTTTTTTTTTTTTTTGAACAAAAGATATTATCTATACCAATAGGTAGGGAGTAGGCCAAGCCACACAGTGAATTAGTAATAAAATGTCAAAAACTCTGTATTTGATAGCTAAACCCTTTAGCATTTGTCTCTTACTACTACAATTTAGTTGTATTAATTTTGATTTGTAAGTGAAGTTTTAAGGTTTGATTCTTACAAAAAACGAATTTGAATCAAATTAATATAGTTAGAACATTGATGTTTATCTCAAGTAAATCGCCCTTTTTTCTCCAGGAAGCAAATCTCCTTTATTTATATGTATATATTGTAACCTCTGAACCTGAACTTATAATTGGATAGGATGTTATTGGATTTTTAACTCAAAGTGAATGGCATTGGACTGTGCAGATAAAAAAAAATCCTACTTATGAGTTACGACTGACTTTAGATTTTGTTTGTACCATACTTAAGGCCTCCGTATTTAGATTTCGGATAAATACTCGGGGGACTCAAATGTAATTATATAATAAATGAAGGGGCAAATATGTAAAAAGGGGATGAGCCTTTAATCTATAAAAGGGTCTCCTCACCCTCACAATCCTCAGGCTCTGAGATTCAGAGCAAAAACTCTCACCCTCACAATCTTCTCACAAACAGAGAAATACAATATCAGTGTGGACGTAGCCCAAACATTGGGGTGAACCACGATACATCTTGTGTTATTTACTTTTTTGCAGATTCACGGTCGGATTTACGTTGTTCCAAGACCCCTCCGGTTTTGTGCATCGACATTTGGCACCGTCTGTGGGAAACGATACGAAAAGTTGTGTCGGTTCTCTTTCATTATTTCACCTCCGCCGTGAATCTGCAAAATCACAAAAACCCAAAAAAAAGTGTTATCTCTCTCTCTCATGTGTTCCTTGTCTATATTTTGCTCATTTTTCATCAGCCCAGTCCTCCATCTTCTTCTTTTTCCTTGTCAAATCGATGAGCTCCCATTTCACTTGATTCTCTGAATCTCCGACTGATCAGGTGAAACTCTAAGATGGAGTGGACAATGGTGCAGCATCTGGATCTTCGACATGTCGGACGCAGCTCAAAACTGTTACAGCCTCATGCTGCTGCCTTTCATCCCCATCAGGCATTCGTCGCCGTCGTCATTGGAAACTACATCATTGAAATTGATGCATTGACAGCTCATCTGGGAAAGCTGACATTGAACTTAACGGTCTCTGGTGATTCCGCAGTTGCACAAGCTGTCGTTTGCCAACTATCTGATTTTCAAGTCTGCAAGCAAAGAAACAACCCCGACCCACCGGCCACCGCCACGCCTCGCAATTACGGCCTAAAGCGCAGACTCACATTGTACAGAGCCTTCAGCGGTCTGACAAAAAGTAGGCACACCCAGCAGCCCATCAACCCGTCTTCCACCTCCGACATTGAGAGCCAGGCCATTCTTGTCAACTCTGTCAACGAAAATGTCTCTGAGAGCTACCAAATGACGTTTTTGATGGCGGCGGAGGAAGGCGGAGTTCAGGAGCTGGAGTACTTCAAGAGGCTTGACGACGAGTTCAATAAAGTGGACAAGTTTTACAGGTCGAAGGTTGACAAGGTGATGAAGGAAGTTTCGGTTCTTAACAAGCAAATGGACGCTTTGATTACGTTTCGGATCAAAGTGGAGAACCCTCAGAGAATGTTTGATTGGTCAAGGGAGATGACTCGCCATGCTTCCGATGCAGCCACCCCACACGTTGCCAGAGCAAGCACCATCTCACACGGTGCTAAAGCAAACAGTGAGTATACTCATCACCACTGATACGAAGGTCCTCACAGTCGAGGCAGTCGCCGACCTGGATCCCATCTCCTGCGAATACCACGAGCACTAGTGGAAAACAGGAAGAAGATAAGTTTTCTTACAATATTTCTATTATTATTCTTCTTTGTGTTATCTGCCATCTGCCAAAAGAAAGAGAACAAAGAGGAAGGAATTATAGGTGGTGGTGCTACCCTTCTTTATGCCTCAAAAGAGTTGGAAAAGTTGGTGACTGCCAACATCGATCAAAAGATAGGTTCCCATTTTCTGAGAAAGAAAAGCAGAAAACAAAAGTGAAAGCAAAGCAGAAAAAAAACCAAGAAAAAGCAGAAAGCAAAAGAAAGGCTTTCCTCTGCGAAAACATATGGGGACATTGCAAAAGTAAGGAATAAACACCCCACCAGAATGATGCGATTTACTTTTCTTGATTTTGAATAGTGTGATTTATTTTTCTTACCTTTCGGAGACATCTGTATAACCCTATTAGAGGGTAAAAAAAAATGGCAAGGCCAAAATAATGGGCTGGAATGTTATGTGGAGGGCTAAGGCCCATATGCCCAAAAGAGCCAGTCCCTATGACTCCAAATTTATTCGGCACCCTACCGCTATTATCACCAACCAGGTGATCAAAAGTACGTCCAGTACTCCAAAATTATTCGGCACCCTGCCGCTATTATCACTAACCAGGTGATCAAAAGTACGTCCAGTACTCCAAAATTATTCGGCAGCCTGCCGCTATTATCACCAACCAGGTGATCAAAAGTACGCCCAGTACTCCAAAAATTATTCGACAGCCTACCGCTATTATCACCCACTAGGTGATCAAAATTACGTTCAGTACTCCAAGCATCACTCATGTTAATCATACATAAACATTCATGAGCATCACACATGTCAATCATACATAAACATTCATGAGCATCACTCATATCAACATTCATGAGCATTACTCATGTCAACATCCATGAGCATTACTCATGTCAATCAACATAAACATTCATGAGCATCACTCATGTCAATCAGCTTCGAAAGCTTCATTTACAAAGCTCTAGCTTCAAAAGCTTCATTTACAAAGCTCCGACTTCAAAGCTTCAGTGCATGGTATACAAAGACCACCTCTAAACAACTACCACTTCGGCTCATACATGGATTGAATTTGAAGTCTCCAGCCAACAACCTCTATTGACTGAAGACTTGGGGGACTACACTATGTACCATATATTGGGCTTTCACAACTGGGCCTTATGAAAAATACTTGGGGGACTTAGCCCATCATTTATGTATTGAGGAGCGAACCCTTATTATATAAAAGGGACTCCCTCACTTTCATTAGAAAGCATCCATCACTTATGTATTGAGGAACGAACCCTTATTTTATAAAAGGGACTCCCTCACCATCATTAGAGAGCATCGCCGTCTGTTGAGCAACCGCCTCGCCGCAAGCCGAGCCAAGCAAGACAACATAAGCTACAAGCCGAGTAGCCTCGCAACATGTGCTACATCTAGTTGAGCATCATTTCACATTGAGCACCACCTCATATCGAGTATTCAGTTCTAGACGACATCTAGTTATTTCGGCCCACACATTGACTGAATTTCAAGTCTCCAGTCAAAAGACTCTCTTGACTAAAGACTTGGGGGACTACTGTTTGTACCATACTTAGGGCCTCCGTATTTTGATCTCGTATAAATACTCGGGGGACTCAAATGTAATTATGTTATAAATGAAAGGGCAAATATGTAAGAAGATGAGGAGCCCTTAATCTATAAAAGGGCCTCTTTACCTTCACAATCCTCATGCTCTGAGATTCAGAGCAAAAGCTCTCACCCTCACAATCCTCTCACAAACAGAGAAATACAATATCAGTGTGGACGTAGCCCAAACATTGGGGTGAACCACGATACATCTTTGATCGGATCATATTTATATATATTTTTACTTCAAATTCACTCGTCTTTTCTTAGTTAGTTCCTTACATTTTTGAGCTATTTACGTTATTTTTGTGTTTATAGGATTTGTTATGCAAAGAAAATAAAAATAGCACAAATGAGTTTTAAATAATAAATTCGTCGAAAATTGCTTTAGTCGTTCTCATTCTGTCATGGATTATTGGTAGAATTATGTCACGGCATAAACAAAAGAAATGGGGAGAGTCGGTCAAAGAGGGAGCAAGAGAGCATCATGATTTATATTTTTTTTACCTCGTTGACTCCCATATTCTTCACTTCTGAAAACAACAGGAAGCTGCTTTGCAGCTGGAAAGGAAGGAATCCAAGGTGGAAACGTGAGGAGGTGGAAGGCAGATGCTGCTTTGGCAGCTGGGGGGCGCATAAAATAATAGGAAAAGCAGCACTTGGCTGCTGGCGGGAGAGAAAGAGAAACCAGCAGAAACGGAAAGAAATAATAAAAGAAAGAAGAGCAGGACAGGCGGAAAGGAAGACAGAAAATAAAGAGAAAGAAAGGCAGTCAGAGGGCGCCAGCGAGGCGCAGAAGGGAAGAATACAAAGCAGAAAAGGCGCAGGGAATTGGTGGAAGGCGGAGGGCTGCCCTTTGGGCAGCGTGAAGCTGCGGAGAGAAAACGCGGGGAGAGATTAGACGGGCTGCCATTGGGCAGCTTGAGAGAGTGGAAGGACAGCAAGACAAACGGCAGGAATGTGAGAAGGCTGCCTTGCAGCGAGGGAGTCAGTGAGCGAGGGAGTCATTGAGTAGCGTGAGGGGTGGAGAGAACCAGAAACGAGCAGGAGACAGCACGCAGAAAGATAGGCGCTGCCTTTGGGCAGCGATAGGGCAGCTCAGTGGAAACGCAGACAGAGATCTTTTTCTCTTTCGGTTTAA